CGCCGATGGAGATTTGCCACAGTTTATCTGCGCTGTGGATACGACATTTAGGACGGTGTCTGGTGCAGTTTGCGAGACAGACACGTTGATCGACGGTAACGTTATAAGCGGGATTTTTTCAATCGAAGGAATTCCACCAATTTCATTTGATGACGAGTACAAAATGGGCTGGAGGCTGTAGCTTCGATTGGTACAGTGCAAGTGAGGCAATCACCAACATCTCCACAGCGGGGGTTCACTTGGACCATCACATTTGTCGACTACCATGGTGATGCACCTCTTCTACTTGTCACCAATTTATTGTCAGGTGCTAGTAACCACATTATATTTCAAGAAATACTCAATGGAAACATCATAGGTGGCACTATTTCTCTCTCGTACCAAAAACAAGTGACGACTGCGATTAAAAATGGTGCCCTCGCAATGGCTGCAATTATGCCGGACGGTTTTTGGTGCAGGAAAGCTCCAGATCGATGTGGAGCGCTCTCGACCCACCTCGGAAGTTGGGTACACGTGGTTCTCGATGGCGTTTTGGATTCTGGCGATTTACCGCTTTTGCAGTGCATTGACAGGCGGAAATGCTTTTAGTTTTTACTCGTGAGGTCACAAAAGGTTCGAAAGCTGTGGGGAAGCAGTTGTGGCTTACGTTTGATCCACCTCTTTACTGATAATGGTAGTGCCATTACTAAGTATCAATTGCGGTGGAATACATCCGACCAGTTCCTTACAGACCCTACAGAAATCGTTATTTAGACCTTGAGACGATATATCGCTCACAGCGCATCACAGTGAGCGTTCCCAGCTTTGCATGGTCTAACAATAGGATCCAAAGTAAAGTTCATGAGGTGCAAAAGGTGACGATTCTTTCAATGGGTACATTTACGCTGTCATTTCGCGGGACTATCGCGGCCGGCGCTGGTGGAGCCACTACTGGTACGATGTTTAAGACGACACTGGAATCTCTTGATAGTATTGGGACTTTGTCGTGTCTTCTGTCAGAACATTTTGGAAGGAGGGCTGAAGTATTCATCACTTTCACAGCGCAATCTGAAGATCTTCCGTAAAGTCGACTCCACAAACCGTAGCATCAGTGGTAGAAACTCAGACTGGCATTACTAATTTTTTTACAGAAGTGATCATTTTTTTCTGTACTGCGAGTGTTGGAACAGTACGCTTCACCTTTAACGCAAAGCATGCAGATGTTGGATTTATTTCGGCAATGGGTGATGTCGAGACAAATTTGTTATCCCTATTGATGTTAAAGCTGAAAATTTTAGGGTGTCAAGTTGAACGCAGACGCTGGTATGTAAGTCTGCAACACCGAGTGATCTCAAGATTATTTTTGATGAGGTCTACACAGATGCTACTCTGTCCATAACTAGAGGAATTGACATTGGAGCTGATGCTGTGGTCGTGGTAGATACGGATGCCTCAAGTATACGATGTCTACACCCTCAGCATGAGTGGGACCTTTCAAATCGGCTATCAAGGTTGTTCCACTCGATATCTAATAGCTGAGTCTAGCGCAGATCAAGCTCGTTTTGCTTTGGAAGTTCTCGAGATGTTGGTGTTACGCGCGAATTATCGTATCAACCCTTAAGTTGACGTGACGCATGGTGAAATTTATGTGATTATATATGTACGCAAAGGTACCAAAGCTGCATCCTTCTGATGCTTTTGTGCGAATCACTGGATGACGCTGCGACAAACGCTACTATCTTCCTACGCAGACGTCCGTCCAAGGAGCTTATTAGCGGGCAACCGGAGTCGATGTCAAGCGAACAACACAAGCGGTAGATGAAGGCTACACGTGGTCTATCACATTTTTAGAATCTGGTGTCGTTTGCTGCGACAAATATCAAGCTAATGTGTGCAGATCCTACCTTGTGCTTGACTGTAACGTTTATGTGGTGGCCACGAAAGTACGAGCCGGCGTTATGCCTTTAAATTGTGTCGGTAGTCACATTGTGCCATCGATCGGTGCGTTCGTTGGACCTAAATTAGGATCTGAAGTTGAGCCTCCCGTCGGACCTGAAGCTGGACCTAAATTAGTATCTGAAGTTGAACCTGATGTTGGACCTGACAATCCAATCGCCGCTCCATTAAGATCGGCACTGAAAAGCACAACTACGACCACGAAAGATAAAAAAGTAAAAATAGTCAGTTTCAACGAACTCGCTAACGACGTCAAACTTTACACACCCGATGAAATCGAGGCTTAGGTGACATAGCGTGAAAGGGTGAATTTAGCTAGAGATGCCCTTCTAAGCTAATCAAGCGTCGCCCGCCTTCTGAGCGGTCAGTGCATATTTGGTTCCAATTTGTGTTACTACGAAGTATTAATTTGGTTACCATTCATGATTTAATGTTTTTTGATTGTCAGCTCCAATTAGAAGAATTTATCTGCTTGCCTAATTCTCGTATCCAATTCGCTAATTCAACTGAGTAGAATCTTTACATCGTATCAAATCTCTCTTATCATTGTTTTCGCACTGAAAGACAAAACTAACATGCTTTGACATTGTCGTCTCTGCGTAATTTTGGTCAATACAGGATTCATCTTTACGATTCAATGTCGAGCTTGGTGAGTCCCAGCGTTCAGTTTGCTCGTGTCTACACTCAAAATAAAGATGATTACAAGATAATGAGGTTACTCAGGTAACAAAGGCTTTCATGTTTTGATTGGATTAGAAAGTTCTTTAAGCGCGCCAAAACTGAAGAGATTGATCTCCACGATCCAATGGCTAAAATCGGCTCAACTTTGGCCACAACTAAAACAAAGTTAGCTTCGTCGAAATCAAGGATACAAAGGCTGAAGTGATGGAGCATTGAGAGGTTAGAGAATAAAGATACCTTTTGATCTAGCGTCGCCCGCTTTGTAAGCAGTAAGTGCACAGTTAATTTCAATCTGTGTTACATCAAAATACACGTCTTTCATGATTCAATTCTCTTACAGATATCATTGTCAATCCAAGAAAAAATATATTGTCAAAAGCCTTAAACATGACTCGCTGTTCTATCCGCACGGTTCAGAAATCGATTCACAAGGTGTGATATGCACATAACTATCGACTCTCATCTTTGAAGCAGACATAACAAAAGTTGGGCGATAACGACGCTTTCTGCATTATTTTTAGCGTCAAATGAAAGTTTTTATTATCGTGGGTGCAGCTTGAACCCTATAGAATATAAGATAGAGGCAGAGTTCGTTCCTGAATTCCGTGTGAATGCAGTACACCATTCTTTCAGCTTGCTATGATGACAAAAAGATGCTAAATGAGCTCGTAAATTTTTAAAGTAATCGAATGAAGGTCACGCTCATTAAGTTTTGATGCATTATTACAATTACCTCAAGTTCAAGGAATCTATCTTTCTTGATAACTTGCTACTGATTCTTCCGATTGTGATTTAACTGGTAGAACGATAGAATGAGATCGCATTGTACAATTTATTCAGCTATCATCATATTTGCCAACCATTAGACAAAATTCCATGCGCTTGATCATGGGATCATGACACTAATGAGTGCTTTCATAACGGATCGAAAAATCAATTGCCAAATATAGGTGTGCAACCAACTTCTTTCAACTGCAGTGATTTGTATCAATTAGCTAAATGCTCTGTCAGGTTCGTAGTCGTGGTCGTTTACGGCGACCACAGTCTCCAATTGCCGCATGGATCAT